CTTAAGGAGCTGATAAAGGCTGGTCCTACGCGGATTTCAACAGAGAACTGAACTTGAACAAGAAACCAAAGAATTTGTTTGGAAACAAGTATATTATTGGGTGAATCACCCTTTGAAGTCATAGTTTACGCCTATCTGATAGGTAAAATCCTCTCCTTTTGAGGTAGCCTGATCGGATCCGCATTTGCAGAAACTGTGCCTCCTCTAAGGCTTAAAAGTGAGCGTCGGAGGCGAAAGTTAGTGTTGAGGTCTTCATCCCCAGTAGTGGCTCCACCCACTGATAGAGGCACCGCCCCTAATAGCGACCCCCCTAAGGGAGAATATCTCATCTCGTTCTCTCAATCATCTTCCTGTTCACTCATCCCTGGTCTCTGGTCTCTGTCCCGTGCTAATACTGTTTCGCCTCCTCGCACTTCTTCTGCTCACCTAATGCTCAAAATAATTCAAAAACGTTGGGCCCCATTCGGGGCACTTTTTCATGGTTTTGTTAGCCCTTTTCTTCTCTAATAAGTGTCTTTTTCAGTGGGGTACGACCTAGCGACTGTACCGTCTCTTCGAACAGCGGGCCTACTTCTGGGTAATTATGAACAAGTGAACGAATGGAGACAGTTTATGATTACCGTAAGTGAAAGATTGGCGGCCACTTGCTCGATCAACCACTGGTCACCGAGATGATTGCAGACCTGGTCCGTATCACCGTTGTAGATTAGCATCCGCATGTTGTTCGTCTAAATATTCAGCTTTGACCACAACCAGCGCCTAAAATTTGCGGGTGTAGGGGCATTTTGCTGGTTCAGTCGATCACTGCCTTTGGAAACTTGTAAAGCAGCGTTCAGACTTCGCAAAGACGCGCGACAACGCGCTGTAACGCGCTATACCCGCAACAGCGCTCAATCTTATGGACATTAACGGGAATCGAGCGGCACCCCCTGGCGGCCAGTGCCAATCGATATCAGACTGCGCGATTAGGTGGCGCGTACCCTCAGTTCTCCATGCTTCCTCGATACAAAAGCGGCGCCGATCGATTCCTGTGTGCAGTTGTTCGGGTCTATAGGATTGAAGCGTTGTTGCGATTGCAGCGCGTTTCAGAGCGTCGTCGAGCTTCGACGCATGTCATAACGGAGTCTGAACGCTGCCTAGATTCTTGTAGAGTTCTGCGATAGCATGAGCTTCGTTTACACTTCACAAGTGTTCACAGGTTTCACCAAAGCTAGCCGTGTGTATTACTGGAACTAGCAAAAGAAAGTAGCGAGGTAGAGAAATGCTCCTCCCCCCTCCTCGCCTTCCCTGAGCCCAACCGCGCCAAATCCACATTGGCGTCCACATTATTGAGAGCTTACCTCATAGACGTAGTTGTTCAGAATAAACTGTAGCTCGCCATCCATTTCAAAATAACTGCGAT